GGGAAAGAAAAAACGTCTGTAATTTCAAGATTAATTTTGCCTCCGTCCGTCTCACGAGGAGGGTTTTCCTTTTTTTTTTTTTTGTTGTTGTCTTTTTGATTTCTTTGTCAGCTATGTGAGCATGGACAAATTTCAAAACTCGCGCCAATGACTAGAAGAAATACGGGGTAGTCGTCGTAATAATACTTATTAGGGAAGAGGGAAAAAAAATGTTCGTATGTATGGCGAGGCAGAGATTAGAAGGACAAGACCTAGAAACCTAGATAATAATAACCAAACTTCCATTATTCACAATGATACAAACGTTGGTATTTGTGTCTCCGCTTTTACTGCAGTTTGGTCAGGGTGGACCCCGTAGAAGTTAGATTGGCCAACTAAGATGGAGTCCTTTTCCTTCGACATGACTGCGGTAATGAACCAGGGGAAAAGAGAATTGTAAAAGGAAACATACTTACAAGGCTGGAAAGGAAAAGACCCGAGGCGCAAGAATGGTCTTAAGGCTAGCCAGGGGACCCGTGAATAGTTCTTATTATTATTTTAATCTTTTTATTTTTTTTTTTTTCTCTCTTTGGGGGAAAAAGCCAAATTGAAAAAATAAAATTGAAAAACCACAAAATTCGTTCCTCCCCCCTTAGGGTACACCTTGCATTTGCTTTGCTGGTTAAACTTTTGGGTCGCTTGTCAGACTGTTGCAGTACCACGAATTGTAAAAAATACTCAAAAAATACCACGTATGAGCACCGAGGCGTTACCCAGCAAGGTAAAATTGTACGAGATGTAAGGAAGGTAAGAATACTTAAATAGATAATCCGGGTTTCATGGCACGGTTACTTCGTATGGTACTTGTCCTTGGCTCTGGAACAAAAAATTAACCTCATGGCTGGACTTAAAGAACCACATCGTTTCATAATGCGCGCGGGATGGCAGGGCTGGTGGATGGCCACGTTTAATGGGATCTACCAAGAACTGTTAAATCATATTTAATATCACTCAATATGTCACTGGGACTTGTAGTTACTTTCCCTTTTCAGTAAGCCATACTTTTAATTGTTCCTGCTATGAAAGTTAAACCTGCATTTTAGAGCCTTGAGACGGGACTACCACAAGACAATACAGCGGGGAATTTCCCCTCAAGGCAAACTGTCTCATGTTTGCCTGTTGAAAAAGAGAGAGAGAGAAAGGGGGGAGCAAGGAAGAAGTGGGTTTGCAGTCGTTCTTTTCTGAGAAAGATAGTAATCCGTCATCAGCCATGGCCAAGAGGGAAACGCAAAGTTGATCATATGTTTACTTTTTAAGGTCTGTCTTAGCAGAACTCTAAGTCAGGCCTTTGATATCATTCTTTGGCCCATGTCCACCCCGTCATGAGGCACACAACAACACCTCATTCCAATAATAAAAACCCCTAGGCTTTGAAGTGAGTCAGGAATAATTTATTAAAATTTTATTACCGTGGACTGGTGGAATGTTTAAATTTTTATTTATTATTATTATTATTATTATTATTATTATTATTTTCAATTTCAGAGCGGTGAGCACGGACTAGCGTGGAAGGGCTACTGGAGACGGATGCTTTGGAATGAGGCAGTGCTGGCAGATTCTTGCCATTATCATTCGCTATTACCTTCATTTTTCATGGTTTGTGGTCAATCGGACTCAACCCATACCCGCCGTTACCACTGACAATGTCGCTTCGAATGTTCTGTCCCCATTCGATTCTCACACGCCATTGGATTCTCCCGATGCCTACCGCTGGACTAGAAGCATGCTTCTGGCCTTAGGATGGGGATTCAAAAAAACAAGGTTTCTACACCCGCTTAACAAAATGTTTGATATTCAAGGTTGCAGGGTGCCCGGTCGACTCCTTTGGCCCTTACCAGGGACAATTTTCTCGCTAAGTTCGGTGCCTGGACAGATGGGGCCTCGTTTGATCTGACAGACAAAAGAATAAACATGAACATTGCAACTGGGACTCGTAAGGCTTCGCCAGAAGACAACTAGAAAGGCGGGTCACCCTGAGACCTTTCCCCCTTCTGGAAGGACCATTGTATCGTCGATATTAAAATGTTTAAATATGAAAGTATGGTCCTCAAGTCGACCTACCTAGACGGGGGTTTCCTCCATACAACTTGAATTCTCATACAGGTATACAGTGTACTGTGTCCAGTATTTCCTTGCTAATCTTTCCTTTTCCTTCGAAATGGGTTTTAATTGTTTTATAACAGAAATCAATATATGTCTTGAATTTCACCAAATCAAGTTTCCATATTTACCACAAGGTGTTCCAGGCAATACATTAATTACCTGTGAAATTCCAGAAGATCCTAATAGGAAGGGCACCGAACACAATCCTCTCTGCCCAGGGTACCGAGTGCATACATGCACCCGACTACCACTTACACTATAGACCCACTGTGAAGTGTGCCGACGAACGTCAGCCAACTATTAGTGGCCTTGTCGAGCTTGACCCACCGCCAATGTGGTCTAGTGGGACCCACTATGTCCTTAGATACATGCACTGCCACAGTGCTGTCATTTGGCATTTTCCGTCACACCCCGAAGGCTCCGTCCCTGGAATTGGATGGATAAAACGCTTAAACTATCGTAGTATAGGGAGGAAAATGAGGGGTTGACAGTCTGAGAAATTTTCTTAAACCTAAAGAAAAAGGGGTAGTCGAACAAGAATAGCAGTATTCAAGACCTTGGCCGGGGGAAAGTAGGAATGTCGGAGGTTTTCTACGGATATGATATTCCAACTCTATCACGCACTGGGGCCCTGCGGTGAAGACCTAGAATAAATAGCCGGTATCACATAGGGATTATTTAAATTTTTATTTTATTTTTTAAACAAAAAAAAAAGAAAAGAAAAGAAAAGAAAGGCCCAATGTGGAATACGGAGTACCATTCTTGTTTTATTCCACTGGTCTCTTTTCGACGCCTTATGTGGTCTTTCTATTAAGCAATAGGAAGCTGCCGCAAGAATTGTCTTGCGAGCTTCATCCTCGTTGCAGCTTTTCACTAGTAAGAAAAAACAATTAAATTAAATAAAAAATAATAAGAATAAAATAAAATAAAAAGGCCGAAGAGGGGGCAAAACTATTCAAGGTAAGGGTAACTTGCAGACCCCAGTTGATTATTGTTCTACTCTATTCAGTAATGCTATCACTATTGATTTTTTTTTTTTCTCTTTTCTTCGCCACTACTGACGGCCCTCTGCACAACACAATCTGTATGCGGTCACAGTGGCGATCAAAAAAGGTGATCAGCTCCAATCTGGTCTGTTCAGCTCCTATCTTCCACAGCTGAGAGAAGTGGAAATGGATATGTCTTCTATGATCTTCACCTTCCTCTCATTGTTGAGTCTTACGCGCCCACTACAAACCGTCACCTAGACCACAACACACGCATGCATCCACCGGGTTGTGGCAATCCGGCGGATTCCATTTGCTCTGCTAATTTTTGCCGTTCGTAAGCCTATACGATGCGACGCTTGTTTTTGCCATCATCCCATACTTGATCGACAATCCGATACGATTGGGCAGTCGTACACAAGTCAGCACAATGGTCGGCGACTGATCCAAAAGAGGGGTCCTGTAGTCAACGAGATGAACTGCTAGTTCACAGGTCCCGCACGTAAGCACTATATATAGTCGGTCGGGGGATGTAGTGCGAGTCACACGTCTCTCGTGACTGGATGAGTGAAAATGTTGTCTTATAATTTACTTCGTGATACGGAGGCCCTTCGTAGGGACAAGGGTCAAAAGCGAGTAAGAAAAGGCAAGCATCCAAGTAAAGTTAGACTACTTGCCATACAAAAGCGCCGTCAGCCTTAAGCCTTAACAGGCTGCAGACTAAGTCCCGTGCACAGGCCTGCTGACATAGTAATCGAGGCGCTAGTTAGCCAGTATTGACTACTCAGACATGGCTAGCTGAACTGGCCTCAGCTAGTAGTAGCACTTAGTACCCAATCGATTTTAGATTGCACAGTGCTCACTCTGCATGATGCATGAGAGTTGAGGAGGTCAAGCTTAATCTACTGTGATCCCAACTGTTCTCTTTGTTTTTTTTTTTTTTTGTTTTTGTATTTTGACTGATTGACCCCCGAATCAGGCGTCATGTGAATATCGGGGGGCATTTAGTGTCGAGTCAGGGTCTGCTTCTAGTAGCACCCATACACGGCTCATGGTGAGACAGAAAACGCAATCGACATACGCACATCCCAAAACTTAAGATGACAAAATTTGTAAGGACGTAATCTAGACAGCAGTCTTAGTCCGGGCACTAAAAGTAGAAGCATATTTGTCGTCTATGGAATGAAAGCCGCACAGACTCCTGCATCACATGTGGCCAATCGATCGACGTGAACTTTTACCATAGCGGACACAGTTTGAAACAGTGCAAATCTGAAACTATATCAGGATTTGGGACCTTGGCGTTTACTCGACACCAATCATTATTGGGAAGAGGCTTGAGACTATCCGACTCCGTCCCGCACTTACGAATGAGGATAATCCTTGGTTGCAGGAGTGCGGAGTTTTGATTGTATCCATTCCTTCCAAGACTTTTTAACTGACAACTAGCAGCACAGACGTACGTGCATGCATACCTCCAAGAATCCAGTTTCAAGAGATTTTGGTTCCACCTCAGCGCTACAGTACTTAGTAGATCTCTGAGCCAACAAGTTGCGTAATTAGTCGACCAGGATGGATTCGAGAGATTTGTCGTAGGGTACGCCACAGAAAGTATGGTGTCATTGTCCACTGGGATATTGCAAGTCGACCTATCTAATCGAATCCATTCCTTCATTCAGATTCAGGGTTCAAGGCTAGTAATGCGGGGCCCCCAACCTTATTGCCTCAGGCCCCAAAAGTAGCCTGCCCTTGCCCTTGCCCTAGACCCTAGTTGCCGTCCCGTGCCGTCCTCGAAGGCCTTACCCCTCTCCAGCCAATGATGTCCGCCATCGAATTCTTGGCTTAAAGGTAGTATCTGAACCTGGTCTCTATCCAACTAAAAGGTTCATTGTCAACGATTTGCATTCCACGATCACCGACATACCTTCTCCATCTCATATCTGACCTAGTACTATATCATTGTTCTTATGTGCATTAGTGTTACTCAAAGCGGTATTCACAATGGCTATGAATCGTATTCCCGGTCAGAATATTTATATTGGAGGGTTGGTCTTACCTTGTCCCTCAATACCCGTATTAAACCTTCATTGCGTTGGGCCAGAATCCTAACAACGCGGGGCAACAATATACTCTTGAAAGCCCAAATCAAGGAAAAAGAAGAAAATCAATTTTACGTCGAACCGCTTGCTGATATACAGATTTGACATGTAGCATTTTCTCGCTTAAGAACAAGGCAGCATTGGAAAGAGCAAACATTACCCACATACTTTCGGTATTACGCCTGCAACCACAAGAGGAGACATTTGCAGGCTTCCAACATCACCGCATCGATGTGGACGATGTCGAGGATGAGAACCTTCTAGAACATTTTCCGTCCGCCATTAAGTTCATCCAGTCTGGATTGGATGCTGGTGGGGGCGTCCTGGTCCATTGGTAAGTCTACCCCTCTTCCTTCATTTCTACTCATGCCGATAAACCCGCATTGTCCCCATATACCTGGGTGGCCTGGCTGGCTGGGAAAACTCTATGATTATGGGCCCAAGCGTTTCACTCTTCTCGCCTTCCATCCCAATGTATAGCCGAAACGAAGTTCTGATCGATGTCACGTGTCATTATCACAGGCAGCGGTCTAACTTCTAGGGTAACGTCGTCATATTGGAATGTTTAGATCGGCCTCAGTGGAATGCTTAGATTAGAGGCATTATGGGTTTTTGTTACTGATAGTAAATAGTGCGATGGGAAAATCCCGTTCAGCCACCATATGTATCGCTTATCTACTCCACCAACAGCCAAGCGCACTGTCGCCGCAGTCCGCTCTTGCTATTATTAAGGAAAGTCGGCCACTTTGTGAACCAAATGATGGGTTCATGAAACAGCTGTCGATCTACCACCAAATGGGCTGTTCAGATGATGTGATCAGCCATCCGCTATATAACCGTTGGCTTTACCACCGCGAAGTTGAGGAAAGTGTAGCATGTGGACGCGCGCCGGAGATGAGTTCCGTGTTATTTGAAGACGAACAATCTCACAAACCCCAAGACAATACGGATCGAACGACGGAAATTAAATGTCGGAAATGCAGGTCAGTTTTCCTAACTTTAAGATAAATATCTCCAGATGAACACACGAATGTTGACTGTATCCGGAAGGCGAAACTTGGCGACCACGCCATTCATCATACCACATGGCCCGCAAAACGGTGCAAAAGGACCAACCGACTGTGCCCACATTTTCTTACATCCCTTAACGTGGATGCGCCCGTGCCTGTTCCCTAACAGTGAAGAGGATGGTGCACCATCTGGGGATGCGCCCCTGTCTGGTCGCTTGACTTGTCCGAACACTTCGTGTGGTTTTAATATCGGGAAGTTCGCATGGCAAGGTATGCAATGTAGCTGCGGCGACTGGGTAGTTCCCGCAATTGGCCTTGCGAAGGCTCGAATCGATATGTCCCAGCGTGTCAATGTGGGAAGGTTACCTCCAGCTGCCCTAGGCATCCGACTGCCGCCTAGTATGAGGCCTAATCCTGCGGATGGTTCCACAAATGGACGGGGCAATCTCTAAGTTTATGACGGTGACTGCGCCTCAGGGGAGACTGACACAGTGGAGACTTCGCAGATAAATGCCACTGCCATCCAGCGTTTGAATGACCGACGAACCTCACATCACGTGACGCAGAGGCTTCCATTTACAGATCGCCGTGAAGACTGGATGCTGTACGCCTTCGTCTACTTGGCCGAAATTAAACTATTTCCCGAAGCGGTGTAGGGGAAAGGGCACTGCGACGACGCCTTTGAGTTAAATAAAGTTGGGCCTTGCGTGTACGCGTTGGTCTTCACAGATCCACCGCACCGACGGGGAGGTAACTGATAACCAAGAGCATACATGAACAGGCGTTTAGCTACCATAAGACTTGGGTCTAGGCACGCAGAGTTCAGTCTTGGTGAGACCCATCTCTTCTTCTAGAGGACCCTGATGTCGATCATCCCGCAATGGAGTTGATCTACCAAGCTAGCAGGGACGAAATTACTTTCCGCTACGACAAGCGCGACATAATCCATACACTTGATAGCTCATAGATAATTATATCCCATGACTGCTGAGAAAGTTGATCTTATGACATCACTGCTGGGAAACCTTTGCTTGACTGTTCTGAGCAAGATACGTACCAAGCAGAATGCCTTGGCTACCCGAGGTGTCCAAAGCGCTAAAACCTGTCAGGATTCAGGGCTTAACCCCACAACTCCACGAGGCTGTTTTTAAGGCAAGGCCCACTGGCTGAGAAACCCGCCAATGGACGGGCAGAACAAGTCCCGGGATCTACGGCGTGGGAAGATCGGGGAGGACAAACTCAAACTTCTCAATGGGCAGTCGTGCACAAGTTCCTGAGAAGGAACATTAGTAATCGGTGCAGGCGCATTGAGAGTCCGTGACCCGGTTCCAGGAGGAGACCAGGCTCCAGCAGGGTAGGCCTAGCCTACTCACTAGCTCCGGCACGGGGGCTGTGCAAACTGCTCTTACGCAACTGGGAGGCGCTAGACCCATGGATGCACTCCTGCCGTAACGCTTTCGTATCAGGACCGTTACCCCAGTACCGCCGTCGTAATTTTTAATTCCGGCAAACCCCTGACCCACCGTATTTCAATTACCGCCAGACCGCTTCATACTTATACTCCATAGTGGCAACAGCAATCGCAATTATGATGATCACTCACTCCGAAGGAGTGGACTGGATTCCCAGGGATTATCTTAAAAGATCAATGCTGTTATCAGTGAGATACTGGCCTTGGCGGTGGACTTTCGGGCCTTTCATCATTCCCTTCCATTCCTCGGTGGTCGAGACTCTCCACTCCTACATCCATCCAAAAGAAGAAGGTATTCGAAATGCTTCTAAGCCTATATTTTATCCATGGATGAATGTCGGATAAAAGCGACAACCTCCTTCCTTCCAGAAGCGACCCCGTATCGAAAATGACGTCACCTGTACACGACACTCAAAACTTCTCGCCCAGTCAATGCAGCCATCGACCTCATCAATCGGATGTCAATGAAACCCGACTATAAGCCCTAAGCGCTACGAGACACCACATACCACAAGATCTTGTAGAACCACCTTAAAATCAGCACAACATTCGACTCAGGCAGGCAATACATAATTCAACAACTATAAAACATGCATCCACACCAGTTCCTTTCCCCAATACAACCAAAGCGGAACCCCTTTAGATACTCCCCAGGCCCTGAAACTCGAACTCCTCCCCGTCTAACCGAAGGGCCTAACGACAGGCAGCAGAGACTCGAGAGTGCACTGCCTCCTCGTTCCCCACTGCAATGCATACAGTACACCTCCTTATTCCCCACAGAGACCGAAAGTAGAGTCAAGAATTAGAAACAAATAAATGAACCCGTCCGTGTCCTGACATCATGGCGCTTTTTTATGCTTGAGCTTTCTGATTTGCACAAATCTAGAGAGGTCCCTATGGACGGATCAAAATAGGGATATGTACTGTACGCACGTGTTCCGTCGTGAATCTAGTTTACCTGCCTAGGCTAGGCAGAATATGCAAGATGTATCGGTGGCTCTGCATCGAGTGCCAGTTGGTCTGTGGTTGGTGCATGACATGTGGGCTATGTTCTGTATATGATGCTCCTTGCTTGGTATATCATTGATTAATTATTCTTATTTGTTTCTGTCGCGATGGGTTTTACGTATTGAATAGAGTTGTTATATACATTGTATGTATACTATTTATGTATATGCGATGCGTGGTTTAATAAGGCTTCGTATAGCACGTAGTAAGTTATACTCGCTGTCATATTGACCCGGCTAGAGTTGGGGCTTATCTCCCGTATTACCCGACAAATCACAAGCCCATCGCCGAACCGGATATACGAAATTTCATATACATAGTTCGAGCATAAGAGCACGAACTGTTGCCTGTAAGGCTGAGGTGGCTGATTTGGAAGCTTCCGCGTCGTGCCTAGTGCTGAACTATGGCATGTGTTGGGTTCGGCTTGGAGTGCCTTGCCTCTCTTTCGATGTTGACTGTGCCCCGGGCAAACCAGGCAGACTTCAGGACTGCGGCATTGGATATTGCTGACGGTGTCATGCGGTGAGTGTTGGCTGATTTGGCGATCAGACCATTGGGACGAATTCTGAGCTAACCTGTAGCAGTGTTGTATTTATCTAACGAAATTCGAGCAGAAGATTGAGTTCCAGTATGGTTTATCTCTCAGAGATGAGGGTGGCACAATGAGTAACCGTGGCTTGCGTGAGCTTGTCGCTTAATTCATCTTCGCAGCGACGCTCTAATATGATCGTCGTATTGCTGCGCTTAGATATATGACGTCGAGATCCTCGTTCAAACGAGCTGACGAATAGACACTTCACCTCGCTATAAACATCTTAATCAGTTCTGATGAGGCAAACACACCCCCTCGTGAATTGACCTCATCAGAGCCCTTTGGACGGGACAGACGGGAAAAACGAGGGATCCTGTAGGCGCTGACGATTTCTCTTGGCAGCCTCGAGATTACGCAGTCTGTCGATGCGCATCTGGTAGAAATTTCTGCGAGCCAATCCGGTCAGATCATGATGAGCTGGCAAAGGGAGCGAGGGCCCTGAATCGGGTTAGGACCATACTTATGCAATGCGAAAATACGAGGCCCGTCATCCGACGTGGACGTCGACGTGGATTGTGCTGACTTCTTGAGGGATTCGATCTTTCGTGTGTCAGCTTTAGCTTTTTGTTTGTCGTTTCTGATTCACGTTCAGGGTCTGAGCGTGTGGGTGGCCTGAGGGAGAATGGGCAGGGGAGGAAGGGTAGGGTAGGGTAGGGTAGGGTAATAGACCTTATCGTCTTGTTCCTTCTCGTCATTGTCCGCCTTTTTGTCGGTGGATGATCCTTCTTCCTTCTTTGACTCTTCGTCGGACTTCTTTTCTTTCGACTTCTCTTTCTTCTTTTTCTGTCTCTCTTCGTACTCCTTCTTTACTTTCTCGATCTCTTTTGCTAATGCTTCTTCTTTCTTCTTCTTTTCCTCTTCCTCTGTGTCAACGATAGGAGAGCAGAAATGCCGATCCTTCAGATGAATAGGACAAATGTAGAAAAAATCCTTCAACGATGTTACTAATGCTGTTCCATACCAACCGAGCTATATATTTTTGAAAGAGCATAAAATGTATTTACCTTGTTGTCGGGCGTAATCATCACGCTGCTCGAGGGCTTATGGCAGACGTAGCACGCCTTTGCGGCGGTGTCTGCTACCCGGCGGAGATGGTAGATGTTTTGAAAGAGTCCACTCATTTTTCAAAGAAAGGTGGACTATGGGTCTAGTAGGAATAAATGTGTATATACGGGAGACAATCGAATAATGCTCTGTACAAATATGTATGGAGGGGTCTAAGTAGTTTGGGAGATAAGATCTGTTTGGTCTTTATCGGTGCGGAGATGTCATGTCATGTGACTGACTGATATATAGATCGATCGTACTTTGGACTATGCTTGGTATACATAGACAGATATAACTATGATTAGTTGCTATGGCTTTGTTTTCTCGATAGGAGGTATAAACAATATCCCTATGCTTTCGGGGCGCCCCAAAGACTCTAAAGCCTATACACCATACTTTATGCAAATATTATTCTATACAGTAACATCTACTCAGTCACACTATCCTTGAGCCCTCTAAGAGCACTAAGCTCCCTCGACCCAGCAGGAGCCAACGCAGCCGCATTCTGCGACCGTCTCCTGGCATCCGTCCAGAGCATAAACTCGCCGTAACTCTTCGGCATGACCTGAATGTCCTTCTCAACCAAGAAAGTGTAGTTGAACTGACCGGTCGACTTCTTGGTGCCATGCTCCACGTCCCTGACCTTGGTGTCCACACGGACCTGGACCTTGGTGTACTTGCTGCCTGAATCCGTTTCGACAGGCTCTGTATAGGCAACTGTGGCGCGAAGGTACAGGACGCTGCCGACGGGAACGGGGTTTTCGAATGTGCTAGGATCAAGGGAGATGAAGTTGGGTCGGGCATGGGAGAAAGACGCTACACAACAGAATGCAAGCTCGAAGGTCTGCTTCAAAAGGAAACCACCGAAGATCATGAAGTTGTGCCGGTTGCGGTCTTGTGGCTGCATGATCATGGCGGATTTCAAATTGGTGTCGCTCATGAAGACCATATTCGATGGTCTTTGTTCGGGAGATTCGGGGCCTGTGTGGCGTTAATGGTTGTAATCACGACAGAGCCTTGAAGAATAGATACGTACTCAGGTATGACATCTCCTTGGTCCACATGGAGTGAATCAGGTTACTCTCTTCGTCGTCTGGGGCCTTTTGGAGCAGACTTCGTTTTCTCAGCCCTTTCTTGGCTTGATAGTTTTCTTCTCCCTTTTTGAAAAGAAGACGTTCCTCGTCAGTTTCCAGCAAGAGGGGTGCAACATTGGCGGGTCTAAGGAGCGTTAGTACGATATTCTGAGAATCAGCTACTCGGTACGTACTTCTTTGTAGCCGGATCAAGAGACACCATTGTGAAGGCACAGGTGATCAGGACATCCTCAGGCTTCGCCTTCTGTCCTTCAGGAGGGGCCTTTGCGACCTGCAGAGATATCTCCATACTAGAGCGTCCTGTAGCGTAGGTAACCTGACCACTGAGCTCGAGATCGCAGATCTCCATCAGAGGATGTTCGATGGTGATTCGGTCACATGCAGCAGTCACGGTCGTCACCGAGCCTCCGGTGTGTCTGTAAGCAATGATACCAGCCAAAGCATCCAAGTCCATCAGTAGCGACCCCAACCTGGCTTCATTAGCAATGACTTAAAACCCGCAAGGCATAGATGTCGGATTGATTACCTGATATGCCCCGAGGCATTCAAATATGTATCAAGGAGCCATTTATCTTGTGCCAACGGCAAGATCTGTATCCCTGATTAGTTCATAACTCAACAAACGCAAGAATTTTCACTAACAGCACTATAATGGCTATCTGACATCTTCTTTGGGGTCAGATCGGGCTTCGCGACCGGCGCAGAAGCTCCCTTGCCGGACTTCGCATCCTCTCTACTCTTCGTCAAAGCTTCAATCCACGGTGTCTTGACACGCATGGGCATCCATGTAGGCCGGGAACCCGCATTGGGTTGACTGGTGTGAAAATCCTTGGACGCAAGACACAATTGCGATGGGCGCTCTGCTGCTCTTGTCCGGAGAATGCTATTAGTTGCAGATGTTAAGCATTTCGAGCGGGTCGCAGCGGACCGTCGCGTGGTTAGTGCCAACATTGTGTAAGCTTGATTAGTCCAGAGGACGTTTTAGAGAAAGGTTGGTTTAGTTGATGGAAGAGTTTGGGGTAGAAATGGGCACTTGTCGGCATCGGGGTCATGTTCCCGAGGCGTGTTGGCCCGTTACCGATCTTTGTTCCGGAGGATATCGGGACCCGTCAAAGGTTATTCCCTCAGGAATTTGTACGGCTTCCTCATGTTGGAGGATGAGATCCAATGTGCCAGAAGAGTACATGGCTATCCTTAGATTATCGTATGGACTACGAGGGGAGAGGGGATGCTCAATCACTAGTTAGTATTCCTAGTAATGCTGCATGTCGATGAACATCATTTTAGTTCGTCTGCTCAATGACATCATTGTCATCTCCTATCTTATCGGCCATTAAACGTAGTTAAGTTACTCCGTATCATGCAGATGCTACAACAGTACGGAGTGCTATTTTTGGTAAAGAACTATATTATTGCTTCTTCTAGTTAAGACGTATTCATACTCCTGGAAGTCAACAGCGATTGGCCTTCCGTCCCTGTCAGGGTACATCTGCTCGACTCCACCATGTCCAGACATCTCGCCCGAGAGCTGCGTCAAAGTGAAGTCATAACCCATATAAATACCTAGAGATTTCGATATTTGTCCTAGTAGGATAATGGTTGTTTCTATCAATTCTCTTACAAGGTATAATATTTAAGACGGATAGACGAATCAAAGCACTCTGAACAATGAGTGACCCAAGAAACCCCAATATCCAGAAAAGAACGACGCCACAATGGGCATTGTACCAGCGCGAGAATTTCTGGAAGCTCAATGAGGGCCAGACGGCTCCTTTCAACACGGGTACGACATTGTCCTGCACTTGACTAGTAAAAGTAAGCACCTTGGGCTGACCGTAACTCACGCCGGAATAGATCCCATCAAATTGGAGCAGTTGGCTCATGAGAAGCTTAGTCAAGGTGGTTGGTATGGCTCCAGCTTCTGCAACTAGAGGACGTGTATTGTCTAACACAATCCGTAGGTACTATGCAGCCTCCAATGCGGGCATGTCCTACACCCACCTGGCGAACCGTCAAGCTTTCTTCCGTCACCGTATCATCCCTCGACAACTAGTAGATACTAACCTGCGAGATACCACTACGGAGATCTTCGGACACCGCGTATCAGCTCCAATAGGCTTTGCACCCATCGGAATCAACAAAATCTACCATCAATCAGCAGAAGCCGCAGTCGCCAAAGTTGCAGGCGAGCTCAATCTCCCGTACTGCCTCTCTACAGCAGGAAGCACACCGATTGAGAAAGTCGCAGAGGAAAACGGCAAAGGTCCTCGGTTCTATCAACTGTATATGCCACATGATGACGAGCTGACACTGTCTCTCCTCAACCGGGCATGGCAGTCTGGGTTTGATGCGCTCATCCTCACCACTGACACCTGGCAGCTTGGCTGGCGACACGACGATGTGGCCAATTCCAACTATGCCTTCTACCGCGGGATTGGTGCCGACCTAGGATTAGCAGACCCTGTGTTCCAGAAGCGATGTCGCGAAGAAGGTATTGACCCGGAGAAGGACATCGTCGCGGCCTCGGCAAAATGGATTGACTCCGTCTGGCACGGCCGAGCATGGTCATGGGAGAAAATCCCTTGGTTAATCGAGCAATGGAAGAAGATTTCGGGTGGAAGACCTTTCGCCATCAAGGGCATCCAGTCGGTCGCAGATGCAAAGAAGTGCGTCGAGTACGGAGTCGACGGCATCGTGGTGAGCAATCATGCCGGTCGGCAGGTGGATGGAGCAATCGCAAGCCTTGATGCACTGGAAAATATCGCCAATGCTGTCGGTGACCAGATTTACATCATGTATGATTCTGGGGTTCGCGGCGCGAGTGATGTCGCGAAAGCGCTGGCACTGGGAGCCCGGTTCGTGTTTGTCGGCCGGCTTTGGATCTGGGGGCTCAGTATCATGGGAGAGGAGGGAGTCCGTCACGTTATGAAATCACTGCTGGCTGATTTTGACATTTTCATGTGTGTTGCGGGATTCAACACCGTGAAGGAACTTGATCGATCGATTTTAGGTATGTTTTTGTGTCTGCGCGGCTGTCTCTACCCAGTTAGCTAACACGTTTGCAGAATCATATCCGAAAGGATATACTCTAATTCCGGACAAAGTCTTGTGAACTGGTGAAGTAGACATATAATGCACCGCAAGGGGATATACATAGTATGGACCAAGGGACACTGTCTACTAGAGCAAGAGTAATACACATGAAGACCTACACATCCAACTTCCTTTTAGTTTCATGCACCCTCTTGTACCACTGCTATATTGTGTCTCCATGCTCGCCAATTTCGAGTAACCATCATATAGACTATCGTCCAGTTAAGGCAAAGTAAACTATCTAAGCTTTTCACCGATGGGCCCGTTCAAGGAGATCTGCTAATCATAATTCGATAGAGCAGACTCAGGTTCCACATAGTCCATCCTCAGGGCCACAAGGCTGACAAATATCGTATAGTAAGGAGACGATCTGTGCTGAGGATGGCAGTTAATATGTAACAGTTAGTGTCTGGAGTATATATAACCGGCTTACTGACCCCTGTTTAGTCCCGACACTAGCCCCCAATAATCTCGGTACCGTTACATCTACTGGCATATAAATTATGCGGCCTGAGATGCAATGGTTGTCTTGAAATTGAGGTCAGTATCGTCTTTCTTGTAGGGGTCTATCTCATAGTATACTATTATATCAAGTGTAACATATCGACATATCAGCTATCATTATACTATATATCAACCCCACGGTCCCAGATCCGACCAGGGCATAAGCAATTTATGCCAAGTAACCAAGGTATCAGGGTTAGGACCTTTGGGTGGTTTGTGGCTGAGAGGGTGGGACTTGGTGGATGGACTAAGGGGGGCCTAATACTGTAGAGAATTTAGCTTGTGTTTCTTATGCTGTTTAGGGAGTTTCTGGGGTTCAGTGACGTATGGTTGGGTGAGTCTCTACTTTGGTGGCACCCCTGAGGTCAAGAGCTATGTGTTAATTACAGTGATATTGGTCCTTTGAGGCAGCTGAGCTGAATATGTTTCTTTGACTAGATAGTCCGGATGAAAGAATGATACTTGTCCGGGCTGAAAAAGCGGCTATTTACCGGTATTGAGATGGTATAACTCGAATATATAGGCATAGACTGGAGACATCACACATATATGCGAGGTGTGTCCCAAATGATAAGAGGTGTCCGCCAAGATATTGACAGGAGAATATACAGAAACTCTTCGGGGTGACCACAACTCCAGCAGCTGATGCTATGGTCACCATGTTCTATCGGGTACTGGATCGAATAGTAGTGTTATATATGCAAGAAATAGTAGCAAACCTACTGAGAGTCGCGTGATCACACTAGGCTAGCCAAAATGTGCACAGAACGACCATCAATGCAGGCAGATAATGTACGCCGGCCTTCACGCCAGCAGAGGTAGATTCCGTCGTAGTTGAGCTCGCAGTGGCGGCAGTAGCGGAGTCAGCCTTATCGGTTCCGGTGGCACTAGTAGTTATTGTAGATGCCTTTGCGCTGGAGTTCCCACGCACCGCAAACCCGACGCGGTCTTTGTCGAAATCAAACACTGTATACACGTTCTTGAGGAAGACATCGCCGACGAGCCATTCGTTGTCACCGAACATCTGGTGGCCGATGATCGTTGAAACACAACCCGACCCGTACTTCGAACCGACATAATCCTTGGGAGAGATTGAATAACTCTGGCCTGAAAAGGTGAGTTCAACCTTGGCGGTGGAATTACAAGGGATAACGAAGTTTTCGTCTCCCGAGGCACTGGAACCCGGAATCAACTTATGCAATGCGGCTGCGTCCTTCGGCGGAATCAGGGCGTAGGATGTGCCGGTGTCGATGATGGCCGTTTTGTTGACGAAATTGCAGGCATTGCCATTCACGCTGGCATCATCCAGAGGGATGGTCCAGCGATTATTACCACTCAGAGCGTCGGTGTACGAAATGTTCCCAGTGAATTTAGTCTTATCGACGCCACCAAAGGTCACAGCACCATCCTTCCCACCGTCGGCGGCGCGAGAGAGGCTGAAGCTGACAATGTTTGACTTGAGGGCTTTCTGCTCGATGACGGCCTCCATAAATGAAGGACCGTACGACCCTTCCTCTGCGCGGCCAAGGCCGATAATACCATCCATGGGGTAATTCTGGAACTGGTCCGACGCATTGGAAGCCAGCCCGAACAACATACGCACATTCATACCAGCAATCGAGAGGGTGTCATTTCCGAGGACTCCACTAACCTGCCCGGTTCCATAACCCACGCCCCATTTCTTGTTGGTTAGTAGGAGGCTTGTCGATGCGTGTTCACCAAACGTGTTGTGTAGTTTGCAGGAATTTGTCGTGCAGTCCGACCCGAAGAGCCATGTATTGACACCACCGGAGTCGAGCATCATCCACATCTTCTGACCTTGAGAGCCAACTTTGACGGCTGCAAAGTAGGTATAGTCATTCCCGCCTTGGTTGAGCGCGGCCGTGTTGGGTGACGTGGGATCATCTGATAACATAATCTTGAAATTGTTGTCACGGCGAAACGAGGCCCTTTTGATGTCCAGGGTGAAAGTATCATCCCCAATGGATGATTCCCGTTCATCCTTCACGTCCTCCGACGGCAACTCATATGGGAAAAAACGACGCTGTAGCTTATCACTGGCGGCATCGGGAACGAATTCACTAAGCTCTATGTGGTAGGGCACAAATGCCGTGACACTAGTGTAAAGAGATGTTGTAGCGAGCAGACATTGTAAGAAACGCATGACTTTATGTCAATTCTTCTAATTAGAGAAGATGTAAAGCGAACGGGCGCATTCGTGGGAAGAGACCGGCAAGCGGCAGTCAGGTTGAAAAAAGCTTTCTGGACTAGTATCGATAAAGAACGAAAGATGATAATCAAGTCTTATGCAATGCAAACTCGGAGAACGCTTTTTTCTATGAGCAATTAATTGAATAAGACCCGACCAGACCAGAGGTTATAAATAGAAACCTAAACAGAAAAACAAACCGCGGAGGGAGAAGAATGCTTCAAGAGAAAAACTAGAAGTAAAAAGGAGCCATGCCACATGCAAAGGAACGAAGAGAGAAAAGACAAGCAATGCAGCCAACCGACATAAAAGTGAATGGTATTATGCAGCGATAGCCATGAGGGGAAGGACGTATAAAGAGCCAAATGCTGCAGGCATGGATAGGGAGTCCAGAGTTAGTAGTACATCGAGGAGTATCCATCCTCCACCACTCAGGAGCAAATAGTAGCCGGGGGCTTCAACGGCCAAGCTCTTGGGCCTTCTCATGAGTGGCTCTGGTGGGAAACCGGCGCTGCTCTAGGCCCCGATCTACAGCTGGACCGAACTTCTTCCAGGGCTACCGGGGGCTACCAAGTGGAGCCGAAGAGGGGAGACTGAGAGACAAAAGAGAAAAATTCCCAGTTGATCCCCTGAATTGGAACTTTGATTTTTCTGGTCATTGCATCATTGGATCCCCAAAAGTGATCAGCGGTGGTGCGAATGCAAAGACAAAGCAAAGAATATGGGGAATGAATGCAACTGCCACACACACACATACATTAGTCTGCTCACATCACATTCCTTCTTGGTGGGTAGATTTTTGTTTGAACATGTCGAACTATTATCGTACGAACCACATCAGGGGCAACGTCTCTTTTTTTTTCCTCCAAGGAACCTCGGAAGTGTTTCAAAATCCCCTCTTGGCATGACAGTTGCCGATCCACTCGCTCAAGGCAACTCATTGAACTTGATTAACGTGTAAATAGGAGAAATCTGATCATTTCCCCTTCCCCCTTTGAGAGAGGTCCCAAAAGAAAAAAAAATAAGCCAGTTGATCTGTCTCTTTCCTTGCAGGTGTTGATCGATCTGATTCACTGCGATGAATGAAACAACGGGGATGTTTGGTCGCGACCAAAGTTCTAGACTGCAAGCTGACGCACCCTCGGGCGCCCCACTGCCCTCTTTTTTCGCCACGATTTCAATGTGACTGTACTGCGGGTTATACACGACCTTAAGAGGCGTTTGTTATACGTACGCGGGTGGCTGCGGTTCTTTTGTGGCTGCTAACGTAATGTTAGGCACTGACTCTAGTGTCTCCACGATGGGCCCATCGCTGGAACTCTGTCCAACATAAGTACTGCTCCTACTGTGTACTGTGGTATCGGAGCGGGTTGTATGCCATCTCCGTACCCCAGTCGTGAGAAAAAAAGTGTGACATCGTGGCCGTTAAGCCGGCTTCAGGGTATCTTTTGTTCTTTGATAAGAGTGCCGGACGTGCTCTCTTCCTCCTGGGTGGAACACAAAAGCATTTTGAGAAGAAGACAAAGGATGCCGATCATAAATGCAAACACATCCGAATACGTCCGTTCCTGCATGGCAACACTTGAAAATTAGTATTCCCAGGCCAAGGCGACCTGATCAGTAGTCATGCAGACGGAGTAAGTGAGCAGTTGTTTTCAGCCGGTCCCTTGCCGATTTCCTGCTTTTGCACAAGCGAAATATCATCGAGTGTGCTTTAAGAGCTCTCTCTGCCACTTCTCAAGCGCTCACCGAGAATCCCGTGCATACTCTGTACCGGATCTTCAGATCTGCCTATCTCGCTCTATCCTGGTTCCCAGGTTGGCTTCGTACTCATCCCACGTGATATCACACGTGCGAAATACTATCTGTAGACTATGGGATCTTAGAACTCCACTCTCTATTTTTATATCATTACAGAACCCAGAAGGTATGTCTCAATATAATGGTATTAAAATAGATTCTCGGCAGATCTAGGAGAGCCCAGGTGAGACACTCAAAACAAAGGGAAAACACTAGTTGGTGGTTGTTATAGACAAAAGTCGTTCTAGTGTACAATTTATACTTTTTTCGCACTCATTAACCTGTTGCAATTTTGGGTTATGTTAAGACATTTGGGATGAAGGATTCTTAACTAGTGCTGACTCTATTTTTACATGACCAGGGTCCTACTAGCGAAGGGCGATCTATGCAAGGGACTGGTTTGCTCTCCTTGCTGCGAACAAAAGTGAGTAAGCATCAAGCATTCCCCAGACTCTCTAAATATCCAGAGTATAGTTATTCACCATCTATAAGAACGTGAGGATTCAAAATCTCAAGTCCCATCCAATTTCAGGCCCCAGTCGAGGCAAAGCACCAGCAACACTCTGAACATCCTTGTCGCCTCTCCCACTAAGATTCAAAACAATGTTCGTTTCCCCTTTCTTCATCGTTTTGGCTAGTTCCATGGCGCCAAATACGGCGTGTGAGGACTCTAAAGCCGGGATAATACCTTCATACTCTGCCAATGCCCGGAAGCCGGCCAGAGCTTGGGCGTCTGTGGCAGCAATAAACCGAGCCCGCCCGCTGTCTTTCCAAGAGCTCAATTCAGGTCCCACGGCTGGATAGTCCATACCAGCAGAGATAGAGTGCGTCCCTGAAACCTGACCATGTTCATCCTGTAGAAGATAGGTATAGACTCCGTGAAGCACACCTTTACTGCCCGCAGAAAGCGTTGCTGAATGATGAGCCGTATTGAGACCATCTCCACCAGCCTCCACGCCTAAAAGCTGGACACCTGACTCTTGTAAAAAGGGATGGAACATGCCAGATGCATTGCTACCGCCTCCAACGCATGCAACAACAGCATCGGGAAGCCTGCCAATGGTCTCTTTTATTTGTTGCTTGGTTTCTTCGCCAATCACAGATTGAAAGGTGCGTACAATGGTTGGGAAAGGGTGTGGTCCAACGACAGAACCAAGGATATAATGTGTATCCTCGAGATTTGTAACCCATGCTCGCAGTGCTTCATTGACTGCGTCACGTAGAGTACAGCTGCCAGTTTTACTGGTAACAGCCACTACCTCGGCACCAAGAAGCTTCATACGGAACACATTCAAGGCCTGCCGACGGACATCCTCAGCACCCATATAAACGGTGCACTTCATTCCAAACTTCGCACAAACAGTTGCAGTCGCGACCCCATGTTGACCAGCACCAGTTTCAGCAATAATGCGAGTTTTATTCAACCGTCGAGCCAGAAGGATCTGACCCATGGCATTATTGATCTTGTGGCTTCCAGTATGGTTGAGATCTTCTCGCTTAACCCAAATATTTGCACCGCCGATATGCTCAGTAAGCCGTTTTGCAAAACATAGAGGGCTGGGTCTACCGATATAAGAGTAGTAGGAACGGTATTCTTCCCAAAAGCTCGGATCATGTTGTGCTTCCTCGAAGCCTCTCTCTACCTCGGCGAGACAACCCATCAGGGATTCCGGAACATATTGACCGCCGAACTCACCAAAGCGCGACGATTGTGCAGAGAAGTGAACTGTGTCGAGCCGATCGGCCAGTGGCGGACTGTTGGGAGTAATATTATTGGCGAGGATGGCATTTGGCTGCGAAACAGGTGAGTGTGGGTGGATCAGCGTCTCCTGTGGATTTCTTCCATGCTTTCGCCCGGTGATACTCGATAGATACTGCTCGACGTACTTCGCTGCCTGGCCAGTAGGTGCCTCGTGTATTGTGATGATTAATTGACTGCCAATCACACAGCCTTCGGCGATGTCTTGTACAGACAAGAAATGTTCGCGCGTACTGATACCAAAGCCAATCACGGATGGTACATCTCCAGACCAAGTATGAACACGGCTTAGAAGTTCAGGCAGGCTCGAGTTTAGTTTCTTAGTTGCACCAGTCACGCCCATTCTTGATACAACATAAATGAAAGAGTCGGCTATACTGCACAGATGTTTCATGCGAGAATCGGAGGTGGAGGGAGCAATGAGGGGAACGTAAGAAAGACTGCAGGTGATGTTTCAGCACAATCATTGGTTCATCGAAGATTATAGAAATAGAGTCCTACTAACCCGTTGCTGGCGCAGAGCCTTCTGAATCGAATCGCTTCCTCAAAAGGAAGATCCACAATTATAAACCCGTTGACACCCACCTCCTTGCAGTCCTTCAGCATACGCTCCTCACCATAGCGCAGTATCGGGTTATAATAACCCATGAGAAGAACGGGGATCTGAAGCCCTCTATGCCTTGCTTCGCGCACCATATCCAACACAGACGGAATTATCACGCCATTGGCCAGAGCTTTCGCATTGGCTTCCTGGATGATTGGACCATCGGCAATTGGGTCGGTGAATGGGACGCCAAGTTCGATCATATCTAGCAGTTTCACATGGGTTTAGAGGCTATATATCAACAGGGCGGGTGAGAGAGTCATTACATACCGGCACCACCATTCTCCAGGCCCAGGAGGATATTTACTGTCTCTCCGACAGTCGGATATCCTGATGTAACATAGGCCCCCAAAATAGCGCGTTTCTGCTGCTTTGCATTTAAGAAAACTTGCTTTATCTGCTCCATTGTGAAAAGGGGAAAGAATATGTGGAATTGGTGGCTTTTACCAACGAAGTGAAGGGAAGGAGATGAAGCGACGCGGAGGGGAAGAGAATAGCAGGAAGGAACAGGGCATCACCAGGCTGAAGAAAGAAAGCACCCCAAAAGAACAATGTTTGGCTAACTCCATGACTCACCTCTCTGGAATTTATTGTGTGCGCTGATATTTAAATGGTGACCAAATAAACCTGGTGGGTTCCTTCAGATCATTAGCTGCATCGAGTAGTTATTGTTTCTCCCCGCTGACAAAGCGGACACAGTACAACAAGATGAATCATAGAGGTTAAAGCAGCCAGACGAAGAAAAACATCATGGCATCACTTGCAGGCTTCTAAGATGTCTTCTAGTTAGTATTATTCTCTGCTTGGATTTGGGAAGAATTGTCGTGAGAACTTCGGGTTCAGTGACTCCTGCGTCATAGGGGGCCGGTTGGTTATTACAGGCCAAAGTACTGCACATCGAATAATTGAATGCTTAATACCCATATGATAGCTGGAATGCAGCACCCTTTGACCCCTGGCCAGAAAGATGTGCCCAGAAATTGACGAAAATTCGTCCAGGCATTTTCTACTGCCAGGCACCTGATCATTCACACTATTGATGAGAATAAGATCGGGCTGGGACTATGTTGTATTCTATCTATGATGGCACTTCTTTACTAATCTGACTTTATCTCTGGCCTACCAGGGTACTCTCTCGCCAAGGTAGTTAACAAATTGACCAGATGTAGTTGATTTTGGTGCCTCATTGATTTTTAGGGAAGTCAGCCATTCCCATTCGAAAATGACGAGGATAAATTATGCTTTATACGCACCAGCTTGATAATTCCTTGGACGCTCTCCTGAACGGTCAATGGAGCTTTTTCTAATCCAATGGATTGTGCATTGCGACTACCTATGCCTGTTTGGACAAGTCTGATCAAGGTTGGTATCCAAGGAACTATCCTGAAGTCACCAGATAAGGAGAAGAACCACACGGTTAGAACATACCCAGGGTCGACGCATAAAGCGATCAGGTTCTTCTGCTCTGCATCAATTTTCCTGACCAGGTAATTGCCTGCTACCTTAGACATTCCATAAGCCGTGGCCAAGGATGGAAGCGTTTTGTAACAATCGTACTGTGGCCCTGAACAGCCTCAGTGGTCCGAGGGCATTCACTTCTAAGTGGGAAAGTACGTCCGCGTCAGTCATGTCCGCTACAGGGCCCCGGTGGTTGCAAATTCCTGCATTAGAAAGGACAATGTCAATATATTCAATGTGATGCTGCGTTTGTATTTTGGTAATTGCGTCGGTGGCGCTCGATGGGACGTCGAGCCTGAGCGACACGGGTATCAACTGGGAGCCAGGGCCCTTTTGCAAAGAACGTAGTTCTTTTGTGTTCTCAGCTGAGATATCTCGGATAGCTGCAATGAAATGTGGTGTCCGCCCGCCCCCCAAAACCCCAAAGGTAGTGTGCCGCAAGGCCTTTCCCAATGCCAGTATGGTCGTGTTAACTCAGGTACACGATATCTAAAATGTGTTGGTGACTCACCTCGATTTGCTCCTGTAATAAGAATAACCTGGCCCATCTTGAGAGTCACCGAGGTTAAGTAGTATGTGACCTAGATAATTTGCTTTGGAAGGACGAGATTTAGAGAGACTGGTCAGAGAGAGGCAGTTGTTCAACCCGTTCTCTTCAGATCACCAGTGGCAACCTGGGACCAAGACAAATACTACATTGTTAGCACTTCGGACTAAAGGTGGGGACTCCTTCGCCGATGATTTGACTGTTGAATCCATGTTTACCAGGCCCATTGCAAAAGACCCTTGTGCCGTCCATATCTTCATTCCATATATCCATTTTAAGCCTCATAATCAGCTCCGCATCTGCCGCTATTGTCTAGGTGCATACCAAACCAGATCTTCAAAGTTAGGCTCTTCAGTTGGCACCGACACAGCGACAAATTTGTTCGGATTCAGTAGACACAAGATCTGCAATTTGTCGGCGCTCGGGGTCAACTGGCCAAAAGCTTCACCGTGCGGTGTATTTAGATTCAGTCGGCACGGAAAGTCCAGCAGAATGTTGGTAAGTCTCTCCGGGATTGCATGTTATATAGAGCCAGTGGTTTTTCTTGTTCCCTTTGACATCTGGGAGTTTGTAACAGAGGATGAGAAAATCAACGAGTTTTTCATGATACTCGGGAAATTTACATGCGCAGAGCAGTAACAGGGTTCATAAATTGCCAATGTCTCCTTGGACAGCTGGGGATAACTTGAGAGATGTCAACTGTTCGGCGGCTGTCTGCGCATTTGTTTTTTTTGACGAATAGGTCTCGTAGGGCAATAGTTGATAAAGGGTATATATTCGGTATTCTTCTGAGATTCCGAGCAATTTTGAAACATATATGTTTTCTGGTGTCGACCATTCACGATGTTGGTCAAACTAGCATATTGCTAGCTGCCAAGATCCTAGTAATTCTTCGTGACGGTAGGCTGACAGGCTGATGCTATGCTCTACTTACTAGTTGCACCTTCTTTCCGTCATGGTAGATATGCAATCATTGTATAAGCAAAGTATTCATCCATGGATAGCCATGTGCTCGATACATAGTAACCGTTCCACATCAGCATGGCTTCATCTCAACTAGACCAATGAGGAACAGAGCACAACCTGAACTTGCAACGCATCGCGAAAATCCAATTTCCTCTCAAGGCCAATAGAGAGTTGTTCCTTCAAACTCGTTCCCGGGAAGGAGGACGCGTTCCTCTTCCGTCACTGTTGTTGAAGGGATGCCTGGACACTGGCCATGGTTGGTCTTAGGCGAAGATGTACGACTTTAGATGGTGTGTAGTAAGCAACAACGTCATGAATGTGAGATACCACGGTAATAATAGCAGGAATATAATGTTCTAGCTTGTTGTAGAATAATTTAGCTTAATCTTTTCGTCCTCTTTTTCGTATCTGTCGAAGATACCAGTGAATTGGAGCCTCAAGCTCATTTCTGAGTCTGTAAAAATTGATATCATAAGCTTTGGGCTGTATTGGGGGCCCCTTCTCTCCTTGCGTTTGCGTTGAATGCTCGCCACTTGTAAAAGGTCAAAAGACGATACAGACCGTATCTGGATGTGCAGGTGGCAAGCAGATACATGGCGGAGTCACCATCTCAAATTCGCGGGTGCTGAAGTAACCCAAGCATATGGATCACTTCTAGGATTATCAAATTCTCCGATAGTTTAAGAATACAGAGAAGTTCCACAGTGACGTTCAAGGACTGAAACCCAGTTCTATTATGCTCTCGGGCATCAGAAATCTACAGAATATGTGGACCAATCACCGGGCTCTATCCAGAAGTTAAGATGTTGATTCATGGATTAGGGCATAGGAACGGTAGAATCCACAGCCTGGGAGCATGCCATTGTTCCCCTATGAGCTTATTATTGTCGTCGACTAGTCGACAATGACCCCGATGAATGAGCACAAGCCCCTCCTAGATACCACAAGTAGATACGGAATCGGACTATAACTCCCACGCTTCAAACAGGAGCGCATATCCGTACTGTATGTTAAGCCAGGAGAAGGCGTGCTGCCGTAATACCGGGATAACTTTTCATTTCACGTAACTATACTACATACTTACAACATAGCAAGCCCCATTGACTACCGAATCTGTAAAATAAGTATACATCAAGGCACATGAATGTTATACGTAAGTATTACCGTCATAAATCCATTAGTCTAACTCTGACTCATTTCCGAATCTAATCTGATTGAACCAGTAGAAAAGGATCTACGGTACTTTTGACTCACTGTAAACCATGACCTTAATTCATTTGTCTACAATACCACCTTTGGTATTTACACAATCGAAAACATGTATTTAATATGAAATCACTGGCAAGAATACAATATGGGATCGTGGACCCGAGTTTCAGATTGGACCATAAATCCCCGGTTCACATGCCGCATGTGATTTATGGAGATCTTGGATAAGGACTCTTCAGACATCGGAAGAGATCGGAGAACCTTAATTGTTTATCCCCCCATTGAGTAATACCCCATGTTTCCGATCATCGTAATCAATAATCATAATCAATGGTTTTTGAATCTTTCCCGAATGCCGAAGAAGCATGCCTTGTGCTTACCTAGGTTATTAGGGTTATTCTGTCCCTTTAGACTCGGGGGTACGGAGTGGCTGATTGGCTGGTTGCCTAGTGGATGATCGACGTCAATCCATGAGTTTTGAGGTGGTGTGATTCTTTTCCTATTCTTGAGTCTGGAGTTCTCTGGTTGCGATCAGGAGATAGTGCTCACTACGATAGCTTTACAATGGATACCTTGAGACATTGAACCACTTTATGTTCATCAAATTGTGAATAGATAGCATCATTGAGCATCATGATGATAGAATAAGTATCAGGAAATAGAAAGACCACCTTCAGTGGAAATCAATCATCGCTAAAGTAGAACAAGACAAACAACGCTAGTCAAATCAGTGCTGCTTCTGGTAACTCTGCTGTTTGGGTCCTAAAATGTCTTCCAAAAATCCGGTCCACAACTCTCTTACAACACCGGGTTCCTTGGAGCCGTTCTGGGACTTTATGAGCTCTTCGCCGAAGCGGGATTTGCCAACCGTTTCGGTTAGCGAGAATGGGTCGATATCCACCGAGTTGTTGTCAACAACTTCAGCCATGGGGCTGACTGCGACATCGGCCCCACCCCCGGAAATAGTGTGTACCTGGGGCTTCATGGGTGGGTTCGAGGGCTGGCTCGAGTTGTAGTTGGTGTAGACATCGGAAAGGATCGGAATGCGAGTATCGGCGGGGCGAGCAGGGGCATCAACCTCGTCCATGGACGGCAGGTATGCAAAATCCACAGTGGATGAGTCATTGACAGCCTTCAAGGCACGAGATGTGTTGAATTGGCGGGTGGAAACAGATCGACTAGGGTGGGGAGTGATGTCAGCGTTGAGCCTTCTGTACCGAGGTAAGAGAGCAGCTCGAGGTTAAGCACTTACTCTGCGGCAGAGCTGCCATTGATTCTTCTCATGGCAATGCTGAAAGCACGGGATTGAAGGAAGTCATGGTTGGCAAGGCGCTCAACGAGCTGTATGGGGGTAAGGCGGTTAGGTCAGGTACAAAGGGAAGCTATGTTCGAAACTTTAGAGTGATACATACCTCACTCTGGTTGCCGCTGGCTCCCAATTTCCTCTTGTGGCACTCCCTCTGAAGGTCTGCCAAGCTGCGAGTAGCGTACAAAGACGTACGGTCCGGAACGTTGACAGGCTGTGCAGAATTGACACCAGTGATGTGCAGGCTCCGGCGGACACAGGGTGTAGCAGTATGCTGCTGAGAGAGCACGCGAAGGGCGCGCAAAGAAGTAGAGCGAGGAGCTGCCATTGCAAAAATAGTAGCGCAGTTGATGGATGTTATGTTCAAGAAAAGAAGAAGGTATGGGGTCTTAAAGCTGTGATTCGCGGAAGGGATATGGATATATAGATGCTATTAGAGTAGATAGAGTAAATTATAGAGTATGAAAGGGTATAACGTAGGTAATATACGCCACAATAAGGACAACGAAAAAGGAGGAACCCAAATGTATTGAGTAGATGTGCAGGAACTGGAGGGAAGGAAGGAAAGGAATGCAGTCGAGGAGAGCTCAGTACTTGTACTTCTGAATGTTTGCAGGAACCGTTGGGGGGGGAAAGAGTGAGCTATCCACTTTCACCCTTCCGGTGGACGCAGACTGGACTGGGGCGGTCTGGCCAAGTCGACGGATTGCTAATAGTAGTAACCCACCAAATTCCCCGACTAAATGGATCGATCGATGGTGTCGTCTGGGCGGACAAAAACTGGGTATGTATTGATGTAATTAACGAAACACAACGGACTATTTTTCTTATTTCTCCAATAGTGTTCTGATCTTCTCGCTTAAACAACTGCATCATAATAAAAAAAATAAAATAAAAATAAAAATAAAAAATTAAATAAATTAAATAAATCAAAAGGAGGGTAGAGGTGGGGTAAAATGCGAAAATTAAAAAAGAAAAAAAGAGAAAACGTAATGATGGTTGGCTCCATACATTACATATCAGGTCTTCAGCAGGATAAGAGTCAAAAATATCAAAGTATGGGGTACACTCAACGCATCCGTGGAGCTCAAGGACCGGATGTACAAGCATGCATATTCCCCGGCGCTACGGGTGGTAAAACAGCCAATCGATCAGGCAATCCAGGAATTTCTCTGACTACGACTCGCTACACCGGGGGGAATGGTCAGTTGATGATCACGAAAACGCTTGCCCGTCCCGGAACCTGTGGCCATTAGACATTGGCCAACCCTTGGTGCATCGAAGCTTGATACACCGGTGTGCCCTGAGTTTCCCCTCTCTTCCCTCGTGCTTTTCAATCATCTATTTTGAATTATTAAATTGATTTCTAACTGACTTTAGAACACATCAGAGGGGTCTAGCGTGGTGTATAGAACCAATCCAATCACTTCCTCTCTTCTTACGAAACAGAGAAATTCCATGTCACCACCACCATAACTCCACCAGGTAGTAGGTACTAGTTGTTGCGATCTTCCAGCCGTGGGACTGGAAAGACTACTACTAAACTTGTTGCCTTGCCCTCGCGAGGCACGCCAGGTGGTGCTACAAGTAGTGGTGAACTCATGAGTCGACGACGAGGGAGAGTCCTCAACCAAAAATATGACACAGAGAAAGCGTACGCGGACGAACGAAAGTGGTGTGGTAATACTAGTAATAGCAGCCCTACAATAGGTCGGCACAAGATTGGATGTTCTCTATTGCTACCTATCTCATGTAGTATGCAGTATGTTTTGCATCCTAGGTCGTCTCGCCTTCCAATGAGTACGGAGTAGAGTCAGTGACGCAATTGATTCGTGAGGACAAATACCGCGGGGAAGTCAGTACCGTCCATACGGAGTACATAAATTACGATTAGTATTATTGTTTCCCGGATGATAAGCGGACGGATCAATGACGAAGCTTCCATAATATTACCGAGTTGGGAGGATTCTTACCCTTTACAGGAAGAGTAAATGAATCCCGGCGTCCGCATGATTCACAATAGTCCATCTTAATTTCTGATCCCGCATTATTTCTCTCAACTGTTGAGAGTTTGAGACTCTGGCGAGAGGCGGTGAAGTGGGGATCCAAGCGACCTTGTTGTCGATCGGAGTTGGCCCCATTTTCCGGGAGGCATTTTTATTCCAGAATTAGTCTAAAACGACACGATTATTATGGGGACATGACCAAAGGTACTGTGTAAAGCATAGACTGGGATTGAAGATACCGCGTTGACGAGAAAACGGGTGGAAACATCGGGGCAGGATCGAAGGTACGCAGTAATTCGCAGTATTGTAGGCAGTAGGATTAAACTTACGCAGTATTTTAGGGGCTGGGATTCAAGATGCACTGTAGTATAGGGAATGATCGACCCCTGTTTTGCATGCCATCCCATTGGGGGAGAGTCACGAGAACAAGAAATTCAATGCCCCGTAATATGTTAATTGAATGAAGTAATTGATTTTAAGTCTAACTCTCTTTTCTTTTCTTTTTTTTTTTTTTTCGTTTTTTTCTTATTTAATTTCCCCGACTCTGGTCCTCACCTTATCAAATGATGATGATGATACACATCCCAGTCACCTTCCTGTACTATGTATGTAACCTTCCACTTTCAGTCTTCGGTGATGTGGTCAACATAAACACGATAACGGGTATCTCATCCTCCTACCAGGTCGGCTACTCTCACATTATTTCTTGTGCCTTTAATGCCCCTGACTGGAGGCTCAACCAGGTAAAGCACATGTATGGCGTAAATTATTACCACGTGCCGTATTTCGCATCCCACGCATCCTTTCGATATGTCACCACTGAATTATTGAAACACTTTAACGATCTTGATAGCCACTTATCTACGCTATCTTAACACACGGGCCGCTTTGGGTATATCTGCATCTTATCAAACCTACAGGCTGCGATCGAGTAAGAATATCATAGGCCAGCAGGAGACCAATACATGAACGTATTAAATTCTAATCCAACAATCATATGCCCGCGCTGATCGAAACATTCGAAGATAAGCTTTTCATAGTTTTTTAGTGGGTATATACAGCTCTGTGAGTATTCCACAGCTGTTCAGAGCTTGGAGGGGTGCAATGAACGTCGCCCTTTGGCAACTTTTCGTGCATATGGGTGCTGGCGGGATTCGGGAACCAGATGGTCAATGTCAGCTGTGTGGACTAGATGTGGGCCGGCTTCGTCTAGTGTGGTAATCCCGTTGTTGCGCATAGCTGTTTCTAACTCGTCCTTAATGACTAAGGTATGGTAAGCGATGACTAGAGGCAAAGTGTAAAGGGGACGAGACTCATCACTTACTCTCTATCAAGTGCTCAACACCCTCCTGACCATAGTTAGTAGCGAATAGCATACTACGCCCCATGCCCACTGCAGTTGCGCCCAAACAAATAGCCTTCAAGATGTCGGTCCCGCGTCTAATCCCACTATCCACGTAAATCTCCATCTTGTCAAAGATTTCAGGACAGCGCTTCTGTAATTCAAGAAGCGTAATGATCGATGGAGGGCTAGTGTCAAGGTTCCGCCCTCCATGGTTGCTAAGTAAAATGCCGTCGAGGCCGGCTTCCATAGCCAACATGGCATCGTCTGCAGACATCACGCCTTTTAGACAAACAGGAAGGTGTGTATGCTGCCGTACCCACACCAAGTCTTCCCAAGTCAGTCCAGGGTCGATGAAACCGGCCATCACACGTCCCAGCCCACCTCCTTTGTTGTCATTCTTCGCTTTGGATGGAGCCATTGGTACGGATAAGCCTTCATCGGCCTTGACACGTTCGTCTGCTTCTCTTTTACCCGGCCAAGCCGCATCAACCGTCACGAAGATGGCCTTCACGTTAGGATTTGCCGAGCATTGACGAAGGAGCGCAGCTGACTTTTCACGATCTCGGTTGACATATAATTGGAAAAAGAAGCTCGCCGAAGGTGCGGTGTCTCTAAGCTCTTCCATTGTGTACGAGGAGTTATTGGAGATCTGATAGGCTCGTTAGACGAAGAATAACACATAGGGGAGTTTTACGAGCTCACTCCTTGCATAATTCCTTTGTTCCCACAAGCTCTAGCAATAGCGCACTCGCCATCGGGATGAATGAGCTTCGCCATAGCTGCAGGACTCACAAATAATGGCAAACTGCTGTCGACCCCAAGAATTTTAGTCTTCGTATCTACAGATCGGACATCCTTCAGCACCCGTGGCCGGAACCAGATTCGGTCGAAGCAAGACTTATTGGCGTCCCGGGTGATAAGATCTGTTGCGGCACTGGAGTAAAACGCCCATGTCTTCTTACTGGCAGTCTTTGACGCCACGAGCTCAAAATCGTGCGAATTGATTAAGGTATGCAATGGCGGCTTCTCATGATCATGGACAACTTTGGGATTCTCAGTAGGTGGTTGCTTGACCCATTCGTCATCGATCGTGGACTCATCCAGCACACCCATATGCTTGTCTTGGGGCAAGTTCGCTGCCAAAACGCTTGGAGCATGAACTTCCGAATAAGCCTTGGTGGCATCACGACCTGCGTATTTCAGGATGACTGCATAATTTAGGCGACCGTGTTAATATCTGTAGCGTTTAAGTATGGAAGTATGTCTCACTCGAAGATCCTCCAGGATGTTCTTCCAAGAATTCTGTCACATCCCACACTTGTTTGTCGACAACAATCCAACAATTCTGCACTGCATTGTGCTCTGAGATTTGCCGAACAGACAGAAGTGCCTTGTCTGCCATTTTAGAAAGAATGTGTGGGTTGAACTATGAATGCTGACGATCGTTTACAATGTCAGAAAAGAGGACGATTTAATGATCAGATGGCAGAAGTCGCATTTTGCGCAATGTTTGCATATAAGTATTATACTTATACAGCCTGAGCCTCAATAAAACGGGGAAGCGCCGGAGTAAAAAATAGAATGCGTTGTTATCGATGGTGTAGAATCAGCGGTAACAGGGTACCTCCGCAGAACTATCGCAGAAATGCGGAGAACGTAACAATTGAAAGGCTCCACAGCGGCCATCGTCCCGAACGCCCGGGTTAGAAGAGCCCGACCTTCTCAGCACAGAATACAGCTTCCGTATGTATACTGGCGCAGACAAAGTCCCTTGTAGCCTAAGCATGTACAGTACATACAAATGGCATAGAATTATGCGCTGTCAGTCTCCTATGGAGACAACATGTCGCAATGAGTTGGTATATCCATGGATGTTCCCTGTAGTAACCAGAAAGGTAACAGAATCCAATGAGGAACAATGAATTAACGAGAGAATCGGAGGAGCACCGAGATCAGTCTCTGATTATTCGGACACTTCTCCGCATCACTAAGATCAAATGACTCAGCATACTCACTAGCCACGGAGGCGCAGCACATATGTGGCTGATGGTGGGCTGTTGCCAAGAGGTCCAACGCCGAAATTGTCTCGCGGATATGATAGGAACGGGGACCATTTCAATAAAGAAGCTGTGAGGGCAACAGGAAAAGAGTATCGTTGTTTTCAGATGCGTGTGGCTTTTGGCGTAGAAAACGTTTCCAGGATACTTGGGAAAAGTAATACACCCTTCTCAATTTGTGTAAGATCCAAAGGAACCTGCACCGCTTTTTCCTTGCCTCGTTCTTGCCAGCGGCATAGTGCAGGTATGTTCAACACTGCCCAATATCTACGAGTGTTCTGCCCCAGCCAAGGCTGAGTAGATTGTCGGTTTCTGTACCTATAACTCACTTGACACACAGTACCTTGCAGTAAACCTTTTGTGTCACAACTTTCTCGCTGTTTTATTCTCAGCAGAAAAGCATTCTCTACAGGGTCAACCAAATATTTAGCTGCAGCCAAGATGGGTGACACCAGTAAACCCCTAAGATATGTCGACGTGAGTTTTCTTACTCTTTCTTATACCAACGTCTCAAGTGCTGATAAGAGGAAACCTTTGTGTAACCAGATTGGGATCAATTTTAGTGATCCTGTTTTCAGGGGAGAGTACCACGGAAGGCAGGTCCATGACAGTGATTTGGACGACATCATCCAGCGTGCTCGCGAAGTAGGCTGTGAAAAGTTCATGGTTACGGGTTCTGATGTAGAAGAGTCCCGGCGTGCTATCGAAATTTCCCAGAGTTATCGTAAGTAATACTGCTTTCTATACCCTTTTCTCTCCTTCCCTTAGGTTTTCTTTTCCCTTTTTTCTTTTTTTTTTCCCCTTTATATTCTACACCAACTTGTGCAACCCATCTAGTCTAATAATTTTTGGCCCTAACTGACAAGCCCGTGAACAGCTGGATTTTGCTATGCCACAGTTGGTGTTCATCCCTGTCAGGCGAAGCTCTTCGATGAATTTCCGGGCGGTCCGTCGAAAATGCTTGACGAACTGAGATCCCTTGCACTTGAATCAAAAAAATCTGGATACGCAGTTGCGTTCGGTGAAGTAGGTCTCGATTATGATAGATTGTTCCTGAGCGCAAAAGAACCTCAATTGAAATATTTCGAAGCCCAGCTGGATCTCGCGGTAGAGATACAACTCCCTCTCTTCCTCCATTCCCGAGCTGCTAGCGATGACTTTGAGCGGTTACTGGCACCCAGGCTCGAGAAGCTTCCCAAGAAGGGTCTCGTTCACAGTTTTACGGGTACTATGGAGGAGATGCAACGTATGGTGGCCCTTGGTTTAGACGTTGGCGTCAACGGTTGCAGTTTAAAGACGGAAGAGAACCTGGAGGTGGTGAAAGCTATACCTCTGGAACGGCTTCAAATCGAAACGGATGGCCCGTGGGTAAGCAAACAACTTGTTTCCGACCATTTGTCTGGACTTCATTGTTGACAGGGCTTTCTTCTAGTGCGAAATCCGCCCGTCTCACGCATCCTCCAAATACCTAGAAGGTGCACCGACGCTACCAAAGGCTGTCAAAAAGGAGAAATGGCAAAAGGGTTGTATGGTTAAGGGTCGCAACGAGCCTATTGCTATTGCCCATGTCGCTCACGTCATTGCCATGGTTAAGGGCATCACTGTTGAGGAAGTTTGCGAAGCGTGAGTATTCCCCCGGATTGAATAGCCTCCCATCCATAGATTGCTAATCCTGCGCATTCTAGTGCCTGGAACAATTCAGTTAGGATGTTTGGGCTTGGAGAAGGAATATCGTAGCACGATCCTTATCTTTTCCAAAAACAGTGCTCTACTCAAACTTGACTTTTGAACTTTTCTTGATAGCTTGATAGACCCGGACTTCGGAATCCCCTTGCCAGAGTCTAACCATTCTTGCTTTGCTGTGATGATCATAGATAGATGAGTCTGGAATTTGTCGTTACTTTACGGATCCCCGGATCTCCCCGAAAAGACACAAGGTCCCAACCATGGTTCAAGAGGGCTTTCAGGGCTGCATTTGGACCTGGAGCCGCCTATTGAGCACGAAACAAGCGAAAAAGAAAAAGGACAAAAACTTAGACTAATGACCACTCTAATTCACGGCGTTGCCTCGGAATTAGGAGTACCACAAGAGACCCTGCGGCCGCCCTTTGTTCTTAAAGCTTCCCGTCACGGAAGTGGATAGTCATACCGCTTTGTCCATCAATAAATCAGTCCCCCAGTATTATTTTCTTGCAGACCTGGAGTTCTTTTGTTCCTTTTTTAAAAGCCGGTTGCTTCCTGGTAGTGAACTCTGACGGCAAAGGTCTACAAGAGCAACTTTTCTGCTCCTTCTTTTTTCCATCAGCTCACCGCCCCGAAGCTGCAAAAGTGCAACAGTCTTGTTTCTTTCTCCACTCCCCTAGACTGTTGCATTGCTCTCTCAAAAACTCCCTTGTTCCTTGCTCGTTCTAGCCTAACAGCTCTTTCGACTATAAACTCGTCAAAATGTTTGTCTCTCAAAAATTTTCGTCTGTCTGAAACTCTCGAGACAGACTTCTTCAAGTCTCTCTCAAGTTTTATAGACCACCCCGTCATTTTTAGCTGGACGACTTCTCAGCACCTTCTAAGCTGAGAATAGGCCTTTCCTCTGTTCAAAATCGGTCGGAACACTAGAGGGTCTTGTTTACTGTCCTTGCGTGCTGGTTCCTCCGCCCGGGGACATCGGCCCTTCTATATTCGAAGGCCCTCGGGGCTTACAGCGACCTGCCGTGTTATTCTATAAACATGGCTAACATGGCCATGGTTATCCCCTTGGCGCAGAAAACCTCCAGCAGTTCTGTTATCGGTCAAAATGGTGAGCATTTTCCTACTGATTCAACTACGAGGGTTCTCTATCGATATCCACTTTCTGTATTGCTTTCAAGCTGACGTACGTCAGGTTTTGTGACAGAAAGAGCACATCTTAAAGCTTCATTGGCAGAATCCGAGTCAATGTACTCTGAGTTACCCCCGAACTTTGGGGAGGTTGTGGAAGGAATCTATCGCAGCGCGTTTCCCAGCCCTTGGAATCTTCCCGCGCTCGAGAACCTGGGTCTAAAGACTATAATGTCAGTGGCATTTTCATACGTCGCGTGGGCTATGTGTTAACATGCTACGTAGCACTCTCGTCGAAGAACCGTACGGTGTGAGTCATATGAGTTTTCTTCGCGAGAATGGGATCGCGCACTTTCGCGTTATCGTCCAAGCAAACAAGGATCCCGAAGAGAAGACCCCTGATCATGTAATCAATGGTATCCTTGAAATTCTCCTCAACAAGGCCAATCATCCGATTCTTATTCATTGCAACAAGGGAAAGGTATGTGGAGGTTGGTTTTTTTTTCTGCGTTATGTATCTGCATTATTGATCATTTATAGCATCGCACTGGCTGCGTAGTGGCCTGCTTCCGAAAGGTTCAAGGTTGGAATTTGCGCGATGTTCTTGACGAATATTTAAGTTACTCCTGGCCAAAATCTAGAGCTCTGGACGAAAGGTTTATCGAAGCGTTCGACGCAACCAAACTCAACCAGGTGGCCAAGGATTCTGGTGTCAAAATGTGGAAACCCACAGGTAACCACAGAAATCCAGAGCCCCATGCGCTGCGTTCCACATTTTGACGGGCATCTCAGTTGCCCGAACCAGTTAACCATCACGACTCACGACAACTTGCTACCTCGAGAAAGAGATTTACGGGATTTTTACAAAGATCAATGCATTTACATGGATTAAAGAGCGCAAGTTTTGAGGGTTATTGTGCCTTAATAGAGCAATTGCTTTATATTTGCTATATCTGATGTCCCACCCACTTGATACTTGTCGGTCAACCCCCTGCCATTCATTTTTCTATGCTGGACTTGTTTTTTTCGCACATCCATGGCATTTTTTATTGCTTTCTAATGCTACGTGTGTTTCACCATGACCATTAGATGTTTGAGCTAGGAAGTGCCATGCGTACTACATGAAGTGGACATGTCCACCGTATACACAGGTTGCTGACATGTGGATCATCAGCTAACGGTTTTCGGGTCGCTGATTGCTTTCTTACTTTTTCCCTTCTAGTATATAAATAGCACATATTTGTAAATACTCACTACTTTGCTTCCTTGTCTCTTTAACTTCTATCTTTGGCTCTCTTCTACAGCCTATAGTAGCTCGCGTAGACTCTCCGTATAATAAGATAAACATTATACTATCAGATCAAAGCTAGGATATCTTCACAACTGGTTGCACAACATATCATCACTCTCTATACCATAAGGTCCCTCTACTTCAATGACAGAGGATATACATGATGATACGTAGCCATCGAATTGATCCCACGCAAGCATTTCATCGCTTGGCGGATCTACGTATAATGAGGTTCCGGCTGATACACATTGCCTGCCGCGATCGGTTTCCCAGGAGGAATTTGGAGTTGTATGGCTATACTCCAAGCAATCAAATTGGCTATTCTGACTTTCCACTATATCAGAGTAAACCGATGTATTCTCTCCATGCGACAACAAACTGCTTATTTCATCTGGTCTGTATGATTCGATATCTCCATTGGTGCCTAGATAGAAGTCTGATGTTTCTGTTTCGTCGATGTCCCAGTCGTCGTGGAATTGGATGTTCTCCTCGATGTATTCTTTGGTTGCGTTGTCTCCCTGAAGTGGAGACACGTTGCAGGGCCTAGGCGTAGGCCAGAATGGGCTTAGCTTTTGCGAAGCTTCGGGCTTATAGAGTCTCTTCTGGGCGATGCACCAAAGGGACGTCATTATTATGGTTTTCAGGTCCATTACATCAGGCACGGTAGATAAGCCCTCAAGCCGATGGCGTTGTGATACCTCAAGGGCAGCAGCTTTGTCTTGTAGTGATTTATTTCGTGTAGACTTTAAGATAGAACACATGGATTTGGCAATCAGGGGTATCAGTTGCGATCGTTCATTCATGGCCTACCAATGTATTGAGTCAGATCTATATGGGTGAGTACTTGGAGATCTTCAGTTGCTCACTTCGCGGTATCTAAGACTGAATACTGAAGGAGCAATTCGAGAAAGAGACCGTAACTTGCTCTTCTTCGGCATTGGATATTTGTATATCCTGGGTGGGTTGTCGCGCACGAGTGTGCTGAATCCGATGTTGAACAAGGATACGAACTCCGAGACTTGGCAGGTGTCGTTGGCCAGTAGAATACTTGCAGGGGCAGAAGAACCTTGAGAATATCCAACAACTTCGTCGACGCGATAAGGACTTTCCAAGCGCGGCATGACTCCGCTATTCCCAGGCGCTATAGATGGAGATATATATTGCAGGGGTTGATAGCGGCGACTATATATCATCGAGATATCAAGCGCAGATATATGGAAAGCTGGAGTATATAAAGGAGGGACTGCATTGGCGAGGGACTTGACCAGGGCTGGTCGCTTTGATGTTTCGGCTGTTACAGACCCTGTAGGCCTTCTGCGCAATCCGAAAGATAAACAAAAAGTCGTAATGGTCTTTTCGGTCCAATGGTCACAACTTTTGAAAAGAATCCCAAGACCTAGTTCCAACCAGCACTATGTAGGTTGTTAGACGAATATTCGCTCGTCGCATCGAGCCTTTCTCTGGGAATACCTGAGAGTTGCATAGCGCGTCCCCCATTTGAGAGGTAAAGACTGACAATGAACGGCTAAAGTCCGATTCGGTGCTGACATGAATATTCAGTCTGAGCTCAGGCAGTTGGTCTACCCATATTGTACCAGAATAGAGTGCGTTATTGAGATTTTCAGCGGATCGCAGTCCTGTAGCACCCGCTGGGCCAAGTATCTCCACTGAAGTATGCAGGGTAAGATCTAAATCAAGTTTGGTTGAATAGAAAGTATCCGACCCCAAGTCGACCGTGTACGCCATTTTAGACGCCCCCTTATGGTGTGGTCTGTTGCCCGCGTCGTCGGCCAGGCGTTACTGAAAGTATAAGCGTGCGGGTTACTACGAGTACTGGGTTCCTAAGGCGGAAACACTTGACATGATAGTAATGCAAATAGTATAAATAAAGTCTGCGTAGTCTGTTTGGCGGGATCTACTAGCTTGAACTATACTTCAACGGCACTTAATAAATGTTATGCCGGTAATTTGTTATATTCCCCAAGGAAAAACATCAGGAAACAAGAATACAAGAAAAAAAAAATTAGTAGTAGGAGGGAAACACTACCTATCCCTGTAAGACTATTTCTACCAAATTCGAGCGGAATAGCAATATAATTTGTAGACGCAGGAAATAATTGAATAATCCTAACTTAGTCCTATTGTCTATTGACGGTCTATTGACCCTTGGGAGATCACGCTGATTGGATGGTGGCTATAAATAAGTGGCGCTAAGTAACGTTGCTTATCGATAAGGATCTCACGTGAAGCTCGCATGATTACCTGTCCCAAAGCATCATCCATGTGAATATATGATGACAAGAAGTCTCGCAAGCAGCAATGCCCAGAGATGAAGCTCAAGACCTGCTCCTGGTTGGCCAGAATGGAATTGACAGGCTGGAGTCTCAGTCCTTACTTCCAGGGTCTCCCAGTGAGGGGCGCGATGCTGTAGCCCCTTTTGATACAACTCCCCATTCCCCGATCTCTCCTTCCACCTTGTCCGATGAAACGCAGCACCAGCGGCAATCCTCGTTCGCTCAGCCGGTGGCCGGAGGCCAACGTCGGACTCCTCGCACCATGAATCGCGTTCGGTTTGACCTTGACGACGACACAGAAGACGAGCATCGATCGAATGGCTATCCTCGACACTCGGAAGACTCTTGGCTAGAGGAGGAAGACTACGCCCGCGGGGACAATACTCGGTCAGGAAGGAGTGCCACAGGGCAGACCATCCCTCTTCTGACAGATATAGAAGCCCCGAGTGTCACCCTTGCAACATCCGAAGACTTTTTCCCCGAAGAGCACCTTGAGAATGCAAGGCCGAGAAGTGGAATGCGAATGGCTTTTATGAATATGGCGAACAGTATCATAGGAGCTGGCATCATCGGGCAGCCTTATGCACTGCGGCAGGCAGGAATGCTGATGGGTATAATACTCTTGGTTGCACTTACAGTCGCAGTGGACTGGACCATTCGATTGATAGTGATCAACTCCAAATTGAGCGGCGCGGATTCATACCAGGCAACTATGCAGCACTGCTTCGGGAAAAGCGGCCTAATTGCTATATCCATCGCTCAGTGGGCCTTTGCTTTCGGCGGCATGATCGCATTCTGTATCATTGTTGGCGATACCATACCGCACGTACTCAGCTCATTGTTCCCTTCACTCCGAGATATGTCATTTCTCTGGCTTCTTACCGACAGACGAGCAGTAATAGTCCTTCTTGTTCTGGGTATTTCTTACCCATTGTCTCTATATCGGGATATTGCCAAGGTATGTTCTTCTCAGAGTTGCAATCACTAAACCTGACGATCATACAGCTGGCCAAAGCGTCTACTTTAGCGTTACTGAGTATGGTGGTCATTCTGGTCGCTGTGCTAACGCAGGGTTTCCGCGTCCCCTCGGAATCTCGGGGGGAGGTGAAAAACCTGTTGTTTGTTAACTCCGGCTTTTTCCAGGCTGTTGGAGTGATATCTTTCGGTAGGTCTCGAACTGCGTATAATGTCTGGAGCATCAACCTCGGTTTACTAATTGTACATAGCATTTGTCTGCCGTATGTAATTATAAGTCTGTCGAATCCCGCTTAAAAACTGACTGTACCAAAGACCACAACAGCCTCCTAATATATGGCTCTCTGAAGAAGCCAACTTTGGATCGCTTTGCAAGGGTGACACATTACTCCACCGGAGTGTCACTCGTGATGTGTCTGACTATGGGCATTTCGGGCTTTCTTTTCTTTGGCTCCCAAACTCAAGGAAACGTGCTCAATAACTTCCCATCTGATAATATCATGGTCAATATAGCACGATTGTAAGTATAACACTACATAAACCTAGCAAATCTACAGACAAGCTGACCTTAGAAGTTGCCTTGGCTTGAACATGCTCACGACTTTGCCATTGGAGGCTTTTGTATGCCGTGAAGTCATGACAACTTATTACTTTTCTGATGAGCCCTTCAACATGAATCGGCACATAATTTTCACGTCGGCACTGGTTGTGTCAGCTATGGCCATGGCTTTGATTACCTGTGACCTTGGAGCGGTATTCGAACTCATCGGGGCAACAAGTGCCGCCGCTCTTGCATACATCTTTCCTCCTCTGTGCTATATCAAGTTAAGCAATGCCTCTCGAAAGGCCAAGATACCCGCATATTTGTGTATTGTCTTTGGGATAACCGTCATGGGTGTTAGTCTACTGCAAGCAATTGCGAAAATGATCAGGAGTAAGTTGATAAAATCTAAAGTAAGACCTTTTGAAATGAGATACTGATTCTGGAATACTACCATCATAGATGAGGGTGGTGTAGGTACTTGCAGTGCTTAGCCAGGCCACTACCAAGCCCATCTTCCCATGCTTATTCTAGGTCTGCCCTCCAGAATATAATACTTTTCTGCTCATACCCTTCTTTGGGCTGGTGTAAATAGAAATTTTCAGCATTCAGCATATACGGTGTGCTTTTACGTTCAGGACTTGTCCTAGGGAAAGCAAACTATATGCGTTGTAACAAAGAATATGTTGTCCAAAACAAACAGTTTGTATGTGTTTCGCTTCACGGGACTTCACTCTTTCCCGTTTCACTCTGCGTTTGCATCCAACTTTGTCAGTAGCTCAAAACATGGGATTCAACTTTTCTCTGTCCCCCCAACAACAACCCTTCTCTGTTCCTCTTCACCATCTCACTCCTCACTCTCACTTTCTCTTGTTTGTATACCTATACATGCTTGTGGGGCTCTTTGTTGTATGTCTCTTTCCTTTTCAAGCGGGGATAACACTGTCTACTATCGCATACATTCACTTCTTGCTTTTTCCTTTCAGCTCTTCTTCCTGAATTCATTCACTGAGGATTCCATTGCCCCTAATTTTCTTCATATCCTGTATCTGTATCTACATCTGTTTACATATTGTATCACTTTCTTGCTTGCGTTGTCAGTACCTGATCAATGAAAGATGGATTCCGAGAAGGCAGAGCGGCTAAGCCGGCTCCAGATGGTAAGTTTCTCTCTGAATCCCTGTGTTTGTGCAGTGGCCATATCATCCATACTCATCTCATTTATCAACAACAGGAAGATCTGGGATCCGCCAGGCGGGAACACATCTCTACCACAGATAGCAGGAAGGTAAAAAGGGCCCCTTTAGAAGATATCGAAGCCACCCGGCTATCAAATCAGCCGGGGACGGAGGCTCAGCGTTTAGCTGAGCAGAATCGGCAACAGCTCACCGAATGGAAGAGTAAGTGACCGTATTGCCACACACCCAGGCACCTAGCATCACTATTGCTAATAAAATGAAAGATGTGTTCAAAAAGATAGGTGATACCGTGGACGTTGAGAGTCTCGATGAGCTCCTAAATGGCCAAAGTCACCGTCTTCAACTGAGAGCCGCTTTGCACGGATCTGGCAGCTATGACAGTGGCAGGTCTTTAAAGACGACGGACGGCTACCCTCAGCTATCAGAAGCTTCACTCTCGGCGTCTACTAGGGGTTCTAGATCTAGATCGCGAGGTCGAGGTGGAGGCATAGCTGGCACGAGAGGCCGTGGCGATGTGAGAGTCGTATCTGGCAGGTATAATTCAATTAAATTATACATTTGATGGATAAAGCTAATCCTGCGAAGAATCCCGTCCAGCACTTCCAATCGCGCTTCTGCTTCTAAGCCAGGGCGTCGCGTAATTCAAGCTTCTGGCGCCCGCAAGACTTCACTAGACCCGGCTCTAGAAATAAACAACAGTGATTCTTACGGGAAAGGCTACGAGAAACAGGCTCAGAATAAGCCACCGTATCAGTTTGGGGGGAACAGAGGAAGTAAGCAGTTACTCGCACAGTTATACACAACGCAACTAACCATTGTCCACGATTAGATGACAATAGGAGTCAAATGCTAGCCGTTGTCAAAACTAGACGACCAATGTAAGTCATAGGCTAGGTTTAGTTTCCTCTTTCTGACATCAATCAGCAGGGACGGCCTACCAAAGCTTCTTAGCCCTCCTGAGTCTTTTCTAGCAGAAGCCAGAAAATTGCTCCAGAGGGTCTCAGAGGCCACATCTGCTGCTGCCCAGAATGAATCTAATCTCCATAGTACTCCTGCAACGGTCTCACCTTGCGAAAGCCGAACGGCACAACCCAGCACCACACAAAACCCCCCTCTACCAAACACTAAATCTGAGGCCAGTCATGATGAGCCAGCATTAGTGACTATAGCACCCCAAGAAAATCGAACGCCCCAGCCGAGCACTGCCCAAGTCACTGCTAATCAAATCACCAGTGATATTCCTAATCAAGATTCAGAATCTACTAACGGTATCTCCACAACTGCAAGCAAGGATCAGTCGGTTTCGGAATCCGTCCTCAATAGAATTTCCTCGGAAGTTCTTCTTGATTTGAGCAGTACACCACTCACCAAGGACTCATCTGTGAGCGATAACAACTTGATAATGAGCCCTTCACTCCAAGAGCTGGAGGGTCTAGAATTTATGCAGAGATTAACAAATACCCTTGGAAGCACATCGTCCCCTATTTTCCAGAGGTTTGAATGTGAGGATCCCTCAAAAAGTACAATCTTCGACGGGAAAAGCTCGGCTATAAATCAAGCTGATGAAGATGGACCTTGTGACAAATTCCAGCGTGATATAGAAATGCTCTGTAAGCTAATGGCGTCAACCTCACTTTCGGACAAGCATCGTGAAAGCTTGGAGGAATGCAAAGCCGAGCTCGAGGCAAAACTCCAGAGTTTTCAGCGCATACCTACGCTAATTCTAGCACCCTTAGG